CCAGAGCATAGGACCATTTTCCGAGAGAAGCTCGCCAGTCGAAGAGCAGCCGGGCTGTGACAGCAGAGTCAGCACCATCAAGTTTCCCGCGAACATCCTGACCTACACCACCAGTGAGCCAGATTACGATCTCCTTCTCGGTCTCTTGATTCTCGGACGGGAAGAACCAAAAGTACAACTTCTCGCTCGTGTCATTATTGGCGTGAATCGGAATCAATCCTGCGTAGGATTCGCCGACATCCCAATCCACTTCGGGGATCTTGGTGCCATTCACGACAAACTCTGTAAAATGCGTCAGTATCTACGGTGATTTGCTCATATCGCGAATATTTACTTCGGGTCTTATCAGTGAGGAATTTCGGCTCCCTCGCTGCCTTAGAATTGGAAATGACATTTTGCACCACGTTCTGCTGGCCTCCCGCCGGTTCCGGAAACAGTTTCTTTGCCGCTGCAGGGCGGTACTGCTGCAGATTCAACGTCGCAGTGACGGCCGAAGGCAACAAAAGAAGCGTCTGAAGCCAGTACATTTTGGCGGATCTGTGGTTTCGTGGTTCAAGCTTCGTTGTGACTTCTTCCCGTGCTACATCGACATCTGCAACCCCCTTAACGATCTCACCCCAAAGGCAGACAAAGCCACTGGGGCTCCGCGGGGATTTTTATGAAAGGCAGCACCCCAGGAACCTTAATCATCTTCGGAAGGGTGCGATGCGCGTTTCAAAACAGCCGATGAAGGATTTAAGCTCGGACGTAGGAGCCCGGAAGAGACACATATCAGTGTCACCTCAACTTGCGTTTCGACCGAGCTTATCTCACATGGCGTCGGATCGTCGAGCGGGGGTGCCTGCCAAGAGTCGTGATTTGGGTAAATACTTTCGCTGTTTTCGGGAGCGATTTGATGGATCACCCTTGATCGCGGGCTTCGAAACGCCGTCATTCCATGGGATTTGGTGGGCATTTGGGCCCTTGGGACAACCATCACAATTTAGCTTATTTGAGCCCCAAACCCGCAACGTTTCGATAGACGGCAGACGCCGCTTTTCACCGAGGGGAGATTTGACAGAACTAGCGGACACGGGTTGCTCCCGGTGAAGTCGGGATGAAGGTTCGCGGGGATTTAGCGTGGAAGCCAATTGCCGCCGCCCGCAGTCCCGTAGTCTGAATTTCTCACGATAACCATCACGACGGGTTTCACTAACCCAAGCTTGCCTATCTTGGCTATGAGAATCAGCATTCTATTGCAAGTGCCGGCGGGAGGAGTCAAAGTTCGGTTCCGATGACCTCGACCAAAGCAAGCCTCGACAAGACTTGCAGCGACTGAGCTACCGTCCGACCGGGTTCTGCATAGTCGCCACCTGCGTTATCCGAGGGTGGACCACTCGTCCCATGATTCTTCCATGTGCACACCTTCCCATCCACCTTCCGAGAACACGCTTTTCGGAATGCGAGATGTAAACCGCCTCGTTTTACTCTAATTGAAAGCACCCAGTCGCTGATCACGTATGCGATTCAGAAGGCAGAGGAAGTCTAGGCTCAAGACGACTTCTGCCCAATAGCTTCACGATAGTAACTGCATGTCCTGTTTGTCCCCACATCACATCGAGATCGACCCAGAGGCTGTTCGTATCCGAGGCTGATTATTATTCAAGGCCCGAGCCGTTGGATCAACGAGCTTAATCATATTTGGGTTTCATCAGCGTGCCTCAAAGAAGACGATCTGTGTGGACAGAAAACCTGATGAGAGAATGAAGCCTAACATAAGGTTTTGGCGATAGAAAGGCCGCAAGGGTGACTACTCTACCACATAACATAGAGATACTGCAGTGATTTTGATAGGTTGGCGCTTTTCGTACGATGATCACTAATTGAACCACATGACTCTATGCAAGCCGAGATCAGTATCAAGTAGAGTTTTACTACGCGGTAAGCCCCCCTTTTAGTGTCCCCGTTAGGCGTAAGACGTTCTTCTACAATTCGAGCTGGTCAATGACAGGGATCAAAGAAAGGTATTACAATATGGTTCCACCTATACGTACTTACAAACATATTCTCCGAAACTTCAAGCATTGGATAATGAGCATGTATGTAGGAGGGGGCTTTCGTGGTGTTAGACAACAGACACTGCTACCACAACACCACATGAATCAATGTATCACCCAGCAACCGTAAAAGAACATAGTCTGCAAGTTTCAAATGACAAGATCAGTAATCTGAGGATGTTTCACGCATGAAAGGAAGAGATTGAAAGATGGATTCGTCATTCATATTTGCATTCCAGCCAAGTGTCAGTTGTGTAGGAGTTGCTAGTCAGGCGCTTTTACCATTACCGGCCCCATTGCCAGGCTAACAATGTTACAGCAACGAATACATAGCCTTCTCAAAGGTGTGTACAAGCCCCTCTTCGATTGGAGTGCTGTATGGCGATGTCTGGAATGCCACAATGGTGCACAGTCCCGCTGCAGGGTCGATTTGCTGTTCCGTAGATGTAAGCCTTCCAACCCCATACTCATGATAGTAAGAGCAGTACTTACCAACCCGACGTTCCATCCGCAGTTTATGGACATAGACCCCTTACGGCGCCACTTGTCTCCGTCCAGATCCTGCATGATCACAATGGCTCCGAATCCGAAGTTGCGGCGCAGAGTAGGCCACTGCGGCAGCGGATAGCCATAGTTGATAAAGCGGATGACCTTGTTGAAGTGCTCATTCATCCCGCGCTCCATCGTCTCGTTCAGCGCAGGCACAAACATCTGTTCAACTGTGTCGGGCTTCAGGAGGACGCCGTCGCGCTTCAGAAGGGAGTGCATCACGGCCATGAAGGCGGCTGGACTGGCGAACATGCCCGAGCCGGCGTAACACTCCTCCGGGAACTTGCGGAAGAAGATGGTGTCGTCGTAGTGCAGCTTGCCGTCCTCGGGGCTGCGCTTCGTCAGGTCCGCCCGCCTCGTGAGCATGTCGGGCCGCTGGTGGAGCTTGAACGTGATGTCGGTGATGCCCAGCGGCGCGCAGATGTTTTTCTGCATGTAGCTCTCCAGGTCCATTCCCGTTGCGCGCTCGACCAGCTTCCCGGCCCAGTCGATGTTGGTGCCGTGGACCCACTCGGCGCCCGGGTCGCCGACGGGGGGCGCGGCCAACGGGTCGGGAATGTCGGTCTCACCACCGATAGGCAACGGGTACGTTGAGTACCCCTTGGCGCAGTACTCACGCAGAAGAGGGCTGATAGGCACGTGTGAGATGCCCGAGGTGTCTGTGAGCATGTGCCTTTTTGATCGCAAGAAGTCAGTAATGGTCGGGCGATGAGTATCAATCATGGGTGAATTCACCTGAGAGTGATGATTCCGTTCCTCTCCCTCATGATGGGCTTACCCTCAGCATCAAAGCCAGCCAAGACCTTCATGCTGGTCAGGTCGGGGAGGTACTTTTCCACGCTCTCATCTAAGCCAATGAGACCGCGCTCGACGCACTGCAGCGCCATGACCGTGCCGACGAGCACGCTAGCCTGACCCATTCTCATGATTGTGTCTGCTTGCATCGGGGGCAACGCCCCGTTCTCATCCGGTCGGACGGACCTGGCTCCGAAGGAGCGGACATAGTCAATTTTGCCTGAGAGCAACGACTCGATTGTCAGCTAACTTGCCATGGTCTCAGACTCTTGTCCACGAGTCGGGTGTGATAATTTCGCTAAGTGAATACATGTATGGGGAGCCTACCGGTCACGTCCTTCGCAATGACCACTGCACCCGGAATCTGGCCTGATTCTACACTCGACTTGAAGGCCGACTCCATTTCTGAGACCATGTTCCCGCCTGCAGTTGCGACGACTGCCTGGTCTGCAGGTAGGGTAGTTGTAGAAGCCATTCTGGAAATTGATCGCAGCAGCTACTTGCTCTTAGTTGGGCAATGTGATAAGCCTAAGAATGACGGTGTTGAGTTGAGTTGCGTGTGCGACGGTTAGAGAGCTGCGGTTTGAGGCAATCGAGTTCCAAGCAATGCTAGTTGCTTTGACGCTCTTATGCCGGGGAACTCGCAATACATCGTAAACCTCGCTCCACAGATCTACGAATACATTGAGCCTCTGACCGCACTTTCCGAGCCAAGGTTGCTGCCCGTCCCGATGCGCCCACCTTCTCCATGCCAATCTGTAGCAAATGAGGGCTTTGAACTCATGTAGATAGTAGTGAGTCAAGTCCCTTGCACGTGCTTGTAAATGCCTCTGTAACCCAGTGCGAACCAAATGTCATAACTCAGTTGTACGGTTCCTCATACAGACCCAACGATACCCCTGATGTCTGTGGTTGTGGACTTACGAAAGCGAGGTGCTTGCACGTGCTGACACAGTGGCTGTCAGTTGAACGAGTCAATCACAGAGACAGTTGTTGTACCGGTACATCTTTCGTTTTGTATGGGTCCTGGAGAGACTGGGTGCAGGGGACCCTCCGCACTTGAAGATCTGCAGTCGCTCTCCCCGGTGAGGAGCTCTTGGGGTACTGAATTTCTACCGACTAATTGTCCGTGCCTTGGTGCACCGCGAGGCAGTTCCCGATTTTTCATATCGAGGAATATACTCCCGAAGAACTGCCAAATATTTTCGACATGTAGAAGTTGCTATGATCAGATGTCATTTGCGGCAATTAAGACTTCAGATATCAACGTTTCAAGGGTTGCGGCCTTAACAGGAAAACAAATTCCGCGAAGTTGACCTCGAAGTTGACCTGGGTGAATCATTTACTTCATTCTTTCTCAATGCAGTTTGGGTATGGCAGAGTTCCTTGATAAAGACTTACGAGTTATAGCCATTGAGCCCCTGACTCGCTGTGCACCACTACCTTGAACACATGGGGCCGGGGTCTCGGTCTCCGAGAAGACCGGGAAGTAAATACAAAGAAGTCGGCCAGCCTTGATAGAGGCCACTAACCGTATGTCTTACAATTAGTGTATCTCGACGCTGTTTTTGTTTCTTTGACCGTAAGATTTCTTGGTATTTTCACGCAATTCATCACAAAATGGGCCAAGGTCACTCGAGGCCCAAGCCGGGCACAAAGTTCCGTGTCATTGGTGCCGGCATGTACGTGTTTCATTTTCGTTATCAATCTAGAAGCCGCCATTGCCAGGCAAGATCATACATGAGCTAAGACGGTGAACTTGGTGATGTCTCAGGTCACGAACTGGCACCAAGACCTTTGCACAAGCCCTAGAGACGCTCATCGGCCCTGTTCATGACGGCGGCGCCGAGGGACTCGTGGGCACCGCGGAGGTGCGGAAGCGGTGGCTCGAGGTCATGGAATTAGCGACCAAGAAGGATAAGACGATGCCCGAGAAGAAGCGCCTGGAATGGCTGCTTGCCGAACTCATGGAAGGTTACTCCGCGGTAAGTTACTGCAAGCTTGAGGCAAATCTCGACTTAATAGGACCAATTCTTGCTGACCATTCCCCGGCGCCAAAAGACCGTTGATGCTCCCTGCATCTGGCTTGTGCCGGAGCTTCTCGAGCTGTATCCAGATGCCGTCGTAATTGCAACGACCCGAGACAAAGAGTCTTGGTGGAAGAGCGCGCAAACAATCTCCAGCCTCGTCGACTGGCCATGGCTGCCCTTCTTCGCTCGGCCACTTCCAGTACTGAACTCATTCGTCACGTATGTGCCTCCGTCCTACTAAGAATCGAATCTTGCTGACCGTTTCCCACAAGATGGGGCCCGCTCGTCGAGAGAACGTGCGTCTCCCGTCTGGGTTTCAAGGGCTTCCAATGCGCTGAGGTGTTGGAAACGCACGAAGCGTTCTTGCGCAGGGTTGTGCCGCCGGAGAAGCTCTTCTTCTACCGAGTTCGTGACGGCTGGGGCCCGTTGTGCGAGATGCTCAAGCTGCCGGTGCCCGCGCAGCCGTTCCCGCATAACAACAAGCCCGAGGACGTCAAGATGGTTGGCCGCATCGTGGTTGCGGTCGGATCGGTGGCGTGGGGAGTTGTCCTCGGGGGTGCGTTTACATGCAGCTGGGTTGCTTGGAGGTTAGGGTCGATGCTGCTGGGCAAAATGGGGAACGAAGGGTTCGTGAAATTGCTTGACACGATCCGATGACCACCTACTACTACTCCACCTTCAAGAAAAGATTCCATATTGACAATTGACCTTGTTGAAACATTCGTACAACAAGCTGCTCTCTGCCACATTCGCATATTTACTGTCAATAATACCAAGACTGAATTACGGTTGAAAATTGCCAGACTTGATCAATGAAACATTTCAGAACAAAACAATCGTTAAAAGCTAACAAAGAAATACACCATTATCTAAACAAACTTCCTTACTGCTTATCTTGCTTCATTAAGCTGTTCATTAAGTTGAAGAGCCTTTCTTTCCAAGCACAAACCTGACACCCTTGTCCAGCGACTCCGCCAAGCGATGCGCCCCCGTAGGGGCAATAGCGTCATGATGGTCCCCCTCAATAGCCAAGCACACCATATTCTTGCCCAACTCGCCGTCCTTACCGGCGCCTACATACTTATCCCAACCACCGGGGCCCAGGTCCGTTTCTGAATTCTTGTCCGGCAGGCTCCACGCCACGGCGCCCAGCTTCGGGTTCTCCATGAACCCCGGATACGGCTCGACAGGGTAGCCCATGTCGGCGAGCTTGGCGACGAGCTCAGGCCGGCGCCGCCTGAGACGGCCCACCATGCCTCCCTTGCACCAGACGACGGCGGCGGGAATGCGAAGAACTGGTCCGGCGTCTGCTAGGGACGGCGGGTGGTAATCCAGGACGCACATGAACATGGCGCGCAGGTGCTCCGTGATGTCGAACCCCGGCGTATTACCGATGAAGTGCTCTCCTGAAGTGGTGAAGAAGATAGGCCAAGTCTCTTCGTCCGACCAAGCAGCTGCTGATGGCGGCGGCGGGGGAAGAGGACAGCGCATGTCCAGTATCACGATTCCGGCCACGCGCCGCCCTTGTGCAAGGAGCTGGCGGCACATTTCGTAGCAGAAGAGAGACCCGCCGGAGAAGCCGCTGATGACTATCGAGTCCTCTTCGGCTTCGGAGAGACCAGCATTGGGCTGTGTCTCGATGAGGGCTTCAACCATGATCTTGGCGACGCCGACAATGCCAACTTGTGTCGTCATTCGCGACGGGTAGCGCAGGAAGGGGGAGTCGATGCCGTAGACGGGTAGGGGAAACTGGCGGCGGAGCAGATGGATGTAGGTGGCGATGCTACCGCCACCATCACAGACCAAGTACAGGCGCCCCTTGCCGGCCTGTGGACGGCCTTGTAGCATGGTGATTCGGGCTTTTGGAAGAGGCTCGTCGCTGGTGGTCTTTTCATCAACTACCGATGAAGACGAAGACGAATCTGGCGTGCGCTCGGCTACAGGCGTCCCTCCGGAGGCCGTAGAGTCACCAGTTTGAACAGAGGCCGTGGTCGTCTTTGCCTTTTGTTGTTCCTCCTCTTCTTCTTGCTCTTCTGGTGTTTCTTCCTCTTGCGGCTTCGCTGGTTGTTCTAGCGGTTTTTTTGTACCAAACGAGCGGACAAGGTGACCTATCGTCGGATACTCCAACATGAACAGCGGAGACAGAGGATAATCTGACTTCTCCTTTACCCGCGTACAAATCTCCACGGCCATGATAGAGTCCACGCCCAGGTCAGCCAGCGCGGCATCCTCTGTCAGCTCCGTCGTGTCCAAGCCTGTCTCTTCGGCAATACTGTCGAGGATGACTGGAAGCAAGCCGGCCTTGGCCTGGCCAGGAGTTTGTTGGCTGCTACCATCGTCAAGACGCGGGTCTTGATCCCGGGACACAGACGGTTGCTCGACTCTCGTCTCATTATCCGTCTCTGTCACCATCTTATCGGAATTCTCTGCCGGCGGAGGCGTCTGCAACACCTTCACGGCATCTCCACCAACCTTCACTGAGCGGCCCTGGTCCTGTTGCTGTCTCCCATCTGCGCCGGGAGCTAAGTTTTGCAGCAAAGCCGCGTTGGGAACCTCATGGAACCTCATCCGCCAGGTCCTCATGACCAACTTGTCAGCATCGTCAAAGACGACAACCTCGCAGACGGCCGAGTCAGATCCCCTCTCAGAGACTCGCGCGTAAGTCCAGTAAGACCGGCCAGGCTCGATCTTGGCCATTTGCTCAAACCGTTCGAGGCTATCCATGATGGAGCTCGAGCTCGCGCCCGTCTGAGAGGAGAACCGGCTAGGATGGCAGTTAACAAGGAAGCCGGTCAGATGTGCCAGGGTTTCGCCGCAGTAAGGTGATCCCGCCACGAAAGTCACGTCAGCGGGGTCGCGAACAGGTACAACCTCGGCCACCGCCTCCGAAAAGTCGTCTGAGACGAACGCCTCCCTGATGCAACGGTAGTTGTCGGATGCGTACTGGACGGCATGCGAGAACAGAGCGTAGAAGATGCTTGCTGGCAGTCTGCTGCTGCAAGACCGCTGCATCTCAAGCATTCTCGCTCTGATATAGAAGGAGTCCGAGTCAGCGTTGGGCTGATTGCCGCTGCGGACAATGACTTCGCAGCGGCCCAGGTCGAACGAGCGTGCTGATGACCGAGACAGCGCCTTGAATGAGACCTGGATAACACCCTCCGACTCAATGACAGCTGTGGCGTGAAGCTCACCATCCAGACCGGCGATGCTTGCCGTGAGAGGACGTCGCAGGTTGGCTCTCTGGAGACTGAAGCGTTCCATGATGTTGAAGTTGTCGTCCATCTTCCGGCCGTTGTGATGCTCGAGTGCGCACTTGGCTGCTACGAATGCGGCCTCACTGAAGACGGAGCCAGGGCAGAGACCCACGCCTTGCATGCGGTGACCTTCCATCATGGCAAAGAGTCCTGGGACTGCAGTGGAAGCGCCGACGGTGACGCGGGTCTTGCCATCCTTGTCTTTGGTCTTGTCCACGATGTACTGCGCACAAGTGGATATGATGGGCTGTTGGCGGGCCAGATGTCCCGGGGCACCATCATCACCAGCAGCAGATCCATCTAGTAACTTGTTCTCCTTGTAGGCAATCCAAAAGTCCTTGGTATCCCAGGAATACGACGGCAATGTGAGTAGTTGGAGGTTCTTCTCGAATGGCGCGTGGAGCAAGAGCCAGTCCGGATCACAACCGTTCACGTACAGGCTGGCCAGACACTCGGAGATGCCCGCCCAAGGACTTGAACCGGTACCCTTCAACGTCGACACGACATGGCCAGTCGGCGGCGAGAGAGTCTCCTGAACAAATGCGCCGCACACCTGGCTCGGGCCGATCTCGAGCCAGACCGGGCTGCTGTCCTTGAACTTGGCCTTAACAGCATGGAGCGCGCCAACAAAGTCGACGGGGTTTCGAGCTTGCTTGGCAAGGTATTCAGGACCGAACTTGAGACTTCCAGCAGCAGCATCTCCGTCCAAAATAGAGGCTAGGAGCGTCGAGGCTACGGGCACCTTTGGCGGCAGTGTGTAGGTGATGCCGGGACCAGACGCGAGCGCCATGAAGTCGTCTATGATGGCGTCGACCTGGAAGGAATGGAAGCCGAAAGGCAGCGGGAGGACCTTCGAGCGCGTCTTCTGCTTCATGAGCGCTCCCTGGAGCCGTGCTACGGCGTCGACTGTCCCGCTCACAACCGACGCGCTGGGACTGTTGACGCAAGCGACGGAGCACTTGTCCGCATCAATATCCAGATTCCTCAGAAGGTCTCGCACGACGTCTGCGGATGCCGCGACCGCCAGCATGGCGCAGACACCTTGGCTGTTGCACTTCTGCATGGCCAAGGTGGCGCGAGAACCGACGAGGTAGAGTGCATCAGCAAGCGAGAGCACGCCGGCCACATGGAGGGCAGCATACTCGCCCAGAGAGTGTCCCATGACCAGGTCAGGCTCAACGCCCAACCGCCACCAGAAGGTAGCGAGGCCGATCTCCAGTGCCAGTACGGCAAGCTGCGTCTGCGCCGTGTTCCAGGCCCCACCTCCGATTCCGGCTCCGGCTCGTGCTCCGCTTCCGGCCCCGGTAATGATGTCCAAAAAGGGGGGAAATCCAAATCCTTGGCATATGTGTTGGCAAAGGTCCACAGTGTCCCTGAAGACTGTGCTACTGCGGTACAGCTCGGCGCCCATGCCAGCATAGTGTGAGCCCTGACCGGTGAAGACAAAGATGACGGGCGATTTCTTGGTCGTTGTGGGTTTTGAGTCAGACTCCAGTGCCTGGATAAGTTCTTTCGTTGAAGACGCGGCACAAGAGAAGCGGAAAGAAGGCTGGTGGACCCTTCGGGCCGTGGTCGTGTAGGCGACGTCCTCGAGACGAACGGACGGATTCGCAGCAAGCCATTTTGCCAGCCGGGATTTGTTGGCTTGATGTGATGCAGCTGTGTGTGCCGAGAGCACCACAACGTGTGCTGATCGCGGATCATTTTCAGGGCCAGAGGTTACGGTCTTTGTATCCGGGCCTTGGAAGTCTTCCACCACCAAGGCCGTGTTCCCGCCCGCAGCGTCGAAGTTATTGATGAGAACACGCCTTCTCTTCCCACTCTCGGGGCGGAACGGGGCGGCCTTGCTCAAGATTCTGATCTTGTTTTCTTCCAGTGATGGAAACTGCTTGTTGAGGGCGTGTGGCATGCCAGCTTGGGGCGGCAGCATCTGTTTCTGGAACATGAGGATGGCCTTGATTACCGAGGCAACTCCAGAAGACGCCTCGCTGTGGCCGATGTTTGCTTTCACAGATCCAATCGTCAGGGGCTGGTCTGCATCTCCGCCGTCGGCCTCCTCCTTACCACCGGCCGGCGTCCTACGTCTACGGCCCAATACATTCGCGACGGCTGTCATCTCACATGGGTCGCCAACAGGAGTTGCAGTACCGTGCATCTCAGCATACGCAATATCCCGCGGGCTGAGTCGCGCCTGTCGTAGCGTCTGGCGCAACACACGCTCCTCGGCCCCTGAATCTGACTGCGTGAGGAAAGCTGAGTTACCGGCCTGGTTGCGCGCTGAGCCGGGGATAACGGAGAGGATACGATCATTATGGGCGATGGCGTCAGAGAGGCGCTTCAGCACCACGACACCGACAAATTCGCCGCGACAGTACCCCTGAGCGTCATCCCGGAAGGTCCGGCAATTTCCGGTGTCCGAAAGAACGCCGGCCTTGCTTAGGAGGCACCATCCATGTGGCGAGGCCAGCACGTTGGCGGCGCCGGCAACCACCATGTCGTGGTCGCCCGCCAGCAGACCTCGGCAAGCCAGGTGGATTAGCGACAGTGAAGTCGAGCAGGCTTGGTCGATGGAATATGTCGCGCCCTCCCAGCCATAGTGGAAGGCGACACGGCCACCCGCAAACGGTCTCGCGAGGGCTTGTAGTGTGTATGCGTCGCAGCCTTTTTCATGGTGTGCCGTCTCATATCCGTCCACATTGCTCTGGCCGAAGAGGACGGAGATACGACTCGGATCTACCGCCTTTGTTGTGCCGCATGAGTAGCCTGCCGACTCGAGAGCCTCGTGGCACGCCATCTGGAACAGCCGACTGCCGGGGTCCATGATGAGAGCCTCACGCGGCGAGACGCGGAAGAAGCGCGAGTCGTAGTGTCCCGGCTTGTCGAGGAAGCAGCCCAGCTTGCACGTTGACACGCACTTGGGGCTCTGCTTGGATTGGAAAAGATCGTCGGCGTCAAACCGGCCTGGGGGGATCTCGCGCGCAACATCGCGACCTGTTTCGATGATCTTCCAGTACTCCTCCAGGTCGTCACACTCAGGAGCACGTGCGGCCATACCTACCACGGCAATACGACCTTCGTAGCTGTCTTCAACTTCCTGCGATACCGGTTTATGAGTCTCGCTCCCGAGCTCGGTGTGATGAGCGACCGAAACTCGTCTTCCCGTGGCTTTCAGCTTGCTGGTGAGAGAGCCGGCAAACCACGTGGGACCCATTACCAAGAGTTGCACGCCTTGACAAGACTCTGCGCCGAGACGGTTGTTCAACCTCTTCACCATGTCCACCAAGTCAACCGGTCTTGAAAAAGCATAGTCTGCCACATTCAGAAGCAGCTGGCCCCAATTTGCGTAGATGGGAGGAACCGTATCGTCGTCTTCATCGGCAGCCCGAAGGCCCCAAATGCGGAATCCCGGATGAACAGACCTAGGATGCAGGGCTGATTGTCCCGCAATGTACCCGCGATGTGATTCTGAAAGCTCATGGTTGTGCTGCATCGAGTAGATAGGGAGCCTCTGCGTGGCAACATCTCCCAACCTAGAGTCCTTCAAACACGCGTCGAGCACCGAGGGAGGGCCGACAACGGTGCCCCAGTGGTCTCCTCGGATGCCCACCCGCGCTCTCTTCAGGCTTGGGACTTTGCTGCTCTCCTGGATCTGGTGGAGGATGCCGTCCAGCTTCTCGGGCGTGATGCCCACGACCGCACAGCCCCATGAGGAGGAGCTGCCGCTGCCGCCGTCTTCCACGGCTCGTGAGACCTGACCGGCAACTTCGCACAAGCGACATACGAATCCGGCGGTCACAACGCTGGCTTCGCGAAGCGACTCGAAGTCGTCTGATATTGCCAGGACCGCGGCGTTGATCAAACCTCCCGAGATACCCAGTCCCTCGGGCCTGGAATTTGCTTTCAAGGCGTCTGGGGAATCATGGACCCATCTGACTTACAGAATTAGCACCTGGACATGTAGAAGGACTCTCCTCTCGCATATATCGGACGCACCTTAATAAAATCACAGCCCGGACAATGTAGGACATGATACACTGCACAAACCCAACATCGTCATCATGATCGCGGTACAAGTCCGCGACCTCCTGAACGCTAGAAAAGATACCACTAGCGCCCAGACTGTCCCGGATCTTGGGATGCATGTGCCGCGTCTCCGCTCTCACGACCGCCGCCACTTCGTCGAGGAAGAGGCGCAGCCAGGCGCATTTGCCGGCCTGCTCGTGGATGCGGTCGATCGACTCGAGCCACGGCTCCGTGTAGCCTCCGAAGAGGAGGATCGTTGGTGTTGGTGTCACCACGGTCATTGTTTGCTCTCGTATGTGGTGATTGTTGTCGTGTGGAATCTGTCTATCCTCTCAGCAAGATAGGCTAAAACCCGTCGCTAGTCGAGAGTCGTCGATGTTGTTGGGGGAAGTGGGCGGACGGTCAAGATCGAAGCTCGTCTGCACGTGTTGCTCGTTGTGAAAACACCCCTGATCAGCACTACGACCCTTTTTGCGAGTCCGAGACGTGCGAAGCCGTGATAACTGACAGCCGGGCTCTTCGGAACTCCGAAGTTTCTTAACAAAAGAATAGATTAATATTCGAGTCGTATCATTTCAAGCATAATATTCAGGTTCACGTAAGACCCCCTTACGTTTTGCAGCATCAAATAGCCCCATGATCGACTCAAAACGTTCATGAGTTCAATATCAATCTGCAGAACACGGCCGGCAAGTTGCCTACGCAATCGCAGCTTAATTCCCTATCAGTTTTCACAAGAAAGAGGTTCCACATAACCACTGACTCTGACGGGCGTATCGTTACCGCTTGTAAACAGAGAACATCTTGAGTTGTAAAACTAGCGCAGGACCCAATTTCGATGGAACCCACACGTGTTAGCTATGACCAATTACCAGGACAGAATTGCCCTATGCGTAGGGCGTAGTCGCAAGCAGATTGCAACCCCCCAGCTCTAGTTGTAGGGAGGAGAGCCAAGCATTCGGACTGGACCCGTAGCCGGCCCGAGCAGCCGAGTCAGGCACGCAGAACTTCTACTGCTCTAGGCCCGTGTACTTGCCGTATAGTACGCCCGTGGGTTAGAAAGTCCGGGGTGCATTACTCGGCGAAACAGAGCCCCATCCGTCACGGACAGGCCGCTCAAAGGTTGCCCTGGTCGTTGTGGGGAGATGTTCCCGTTCACACTGTGGAATGTATGTGTACTTACACAGCTTCGTGAACCATAGGCCCTAGGACTAGGAGAAAGAACAATCAACATCCACTTTCAATAACCCCTTCCTACCCGTAGTACTACCCCGTACAAACGCACTGTTGATCGTCTGAAACTCTATTTCCACCAGTTGCAAGAAAGAAAATTCTACCGATTGAATGCCCGTGCCCTGTACAGCTCTTCACCGAGGTGGGAGGTTGTCGGACCCCGAGAATCCATAGGGTTGAAAGAGATACTAGATACAGAACCTCCCGCCGGACATCAACAACGGTCGTCCCGAAGGTGGAGAGCTGCCGGCTGGTATTCGCAGATCCCTCTCCCGAAACAGCGTGGTCTCTTGCCCCGTGCAGGTCGTCTACAATCTAAGTGGCCATGCTAACTCGGTGAGGCACTCGGGATATAATCTCAGGATCGTGGGGTCTGGAAGTTTGAGCATGAATCATGGTCGATGATAGAATGTCGACGAGTTCATCATGGACTTGAGGTATGGACCCTCTTTGTTCTACGACGCACGTATGCAGTTCTGGTCGCAGGGTCTACCTTCAGGATACCTGGCCGAGTTCATGTTGACATTATTCGCTCAAGATAGTCGGTCACCACGAGTGGGCATCGAGGGGGCCATGGAATGCGTTCCCAGTTGCTGTGATAAGTGCTGCTGGTGCCCATCGACGATCTTGAATTTAGGTGGCTTGAGAGAGTTGTTCGCGGTAGCCTCGTCAAAACCAATATACCATTTGACTTTTCAGAGTTCTTGTTTTCATTTTCATCATGGGGTCTCACAACGTTCGTCGGGATAACATCCCCATTGCTGTGGTCGGCCTAGCCTGCCGACTTCCAGGCGATGCCACCAGCGCGACAGAATACTGGAACATGTTGAAGGAGGGGAGAGGTTAGTAACGCTCACACAACTGGCGCCTGGGAAAGAGAACACCGCAAGCAACCCGCCAGTCAGACAGACTACTGACACGAACCACCAAACCGCAGATGGCTACTCACCCGAGACAAACCGCTACGACACATCAGCCTTCTACCACGCCAACCCCAAAGACAGGCAAAATGTGCTGCCGACCAAGGGCGGGCACTTCATCAAGGAAGACCCCTACGCCTTCGACTCGTCCTTCTTCAAGTTCTCCGCCGCCGAGGCCGCCGTCCTCGACCCCAAGCAGCGCATCCTGCTCGAGGTGACGTACGAGGCCCTCGAGAACGCCGGCCTGCCGCCGCCGCGCATGGCCGGCACGCGGACCGCCTGCATCATCGGCACCGCGTGGAGCGACTACCGCGACGCCCTCGTGCGCGACTTCGAGCAGTGGCCGCGCCTGTACCTGATGGGCGTCAGCGACGAGATGGTCAGCAACCGCCTGTCGCACTTTTTCGACCTGCGCGGGCCGAGTTTGACGGTTGAGACGGCGTGTTCGTCTAGTCTGGTGGCTATTCACCAGGCGTGCGAGAGTCTGCGGTCTGGCCAGGCAGAGGTATGTTCATGAATCTCTATCACACGTCTTGTTAGCTATCTTGTATCACTCACACGACACCCAGATGGCCGTCGCAGGCGGAATCAACATGATCCTCGGCCCCGAGGCAACCATGGAACTCAACAGTCTGGGCGTGCTCAACCCAGACGGCCGCTCACTCTCCTTTGACGAGGGCGCAAACGGCTACGGCCGCGCCGAGGGCTGCGGCATCGTCATCCTCAAGCCGCTGGACCAGGCCGTCCGCGACGGCGACCACATCCGCGCCGTGATCCGCGGTAGCGGCGTCAACTCGGACGGCTGGACCAAGACCATCTCGACGCCGTCCGCCTCAGCCCAGGCCGAGCTCATCAAGCTGGTCTACGAGTCCAACGGTCTCGACTACGACGCGACGCAGTACGTCGAGGCACACGGGACCGGCACCAAGGTCGGCGACCCGATCGAGCTGGGCGCGATCCACGAGACGATCGGCCGCAACGCGAGCAAGTCGAGAAAGCTGTACGTGGGCAGCGTGAAGGCGAACATTGGACATCTTGAGCCTGCTGCCGGTGTGGCGGGCTTCATTAAGGGTGTTTTGGCGCTGGAGCACGGCAAGATCCCGCCGAACGTCCACTTTCACAAGGCCAACCCGAGGATCCCCTTTGATAAGTGGAATATGGTGGTGCCAAAGTCGCTGACCCCTTGGCCTGAGGCCGAGACAAAACGCATGAGTGTCAGCAGTTTCGGCATGGGCGGAACCAACGCCCACGTCGTCCTCGAGGAGTTCAAGAAGACACCAAAGCAACTGACGAATGGGGTTTACAGCAATGGTGATGCGCCCTCTAAAGACGCCGTCGTCGATAAGAAGAGACTCTTCGTTTTCAGCAGTCACGACCAGGCAGGTATCAAGCGCGTCTCAACCACGCTGGCGCAGCATCTCGACAAGGTTCGGGGTGAAAACCCAACCTGGACACCTGAGAAGGGTGAGCCCGAGTACCTGGCCAACTTCGCGCACACACTTGCGACCGCGCGCTCTAGTCTGGGATGGAAAGCCAGTTGCCTGGCAAGCAGCTTCTCACAACTCCAGTCCCAGCTGACGGCCGCGCCTTCGGAAGAGATCTGGAAGATCTCGCGCGCCTCATCCGATCCAAAGCCGTTGCGCGTAGGCTTCGTCTTCACCGGCCAGGGCGCGCAATGGGCCGGCATGGGCGTCGAGCTCCTCTCGCACCCTGTGTTCCGGGCCTCGGTCGCCCGATCAGCCGCCATCCTCGAGAGTCTCGGCTGCACCTGGGATCCTGTGGCCGAGCTGTCGAAGACTGGCAAGGAGTCCCGGCTCGGCCAGCCCGAGATCAGCCAGCCCATCTGCAGCGTCCTGCAGATCGCCCTTGTTGACGAGATCCGCTCGTGGGGCTCCCCGGTCCTCAGCAAGCCGGCCAAGGTCGTCGGCCACTCGAGCGGAGAGATCGCGGCGGCTTACTGCATGGGGGCTCTGACGCACCGGGACGCGCTAGTTGTGGCATACTCCCGCGGGACGGCTTCGGCTCTACTGCCGACGGTTGCGCCGCATCTCAACGGCGCCATGATGGCGGCGGGATGCTCCCGCGAGACGGCCGAGGGCCTGATCGAAAAGCTCGGACTGTCTGGACAGGTCGGCGTGGGGTGCGTCAACTCCCCATCCAGCATCACACTCTCCGGAGATTCAGCCGCGATGGACACGATAGCCGCTGCGTTGGATGAGCAAAAGACGTTTTGCCGGCGGCTCAAGGTCCAGGTGGCCTACCACTCGTCCCACGTTGCGACCGTTTCCGGCGAATACTACCAGGCCATGGCCTCAGAGGGTGTCGAGCCCATCGCTGTCACTGCGGACGAGGGAGCTCCTCGTATGATCTCCAGTGTGCTGGGCGACGAGGTGTCCTCAGAGCAGTTGGGACCCTTCTACTGGCTGCAGAACTTCACCTCACCAGTATTATTCTCCGACGCCCTGAAGAGGCTGGTCCTACCGGAGACCGAGACCGAGAACGAGAACGAGCCTGACGTCGACTTACTCGTCGAGATCGGGCCCCACAGCACCCTGGGCGGACCCATCGAGCAGATCCTCTCCCACCGCGGCGTGAAGAGCGGCGCCGTGGCCTACCAGGCGGTCCTCCGTCGCGGTGCCGATGCCTCCGAGACGAGCCTACGGATGGCTGAGCAGTTGTTCCACCTCGGTGTTCCGCTGGATCTGGCCAAGGTCAACGGCGACGATTCGCCGGCGGTGGATCTGCTCACGGACCTGCCCCCGTACCCGTGGATGCACGACAACAAGTACAATGCCTATCCGAGAGTGCAGAGGGAGCGCTGGTTCCGAGACCAGCCCGCCAAGGGCCTTTTGGGTGCTCCGACGCCGGTAATGCGGGAGAAGCAGCACGTCTGGCGCGGCTTCATCCGTCTCGATGACGAGCCGTGGCTGCGCGGGCACACCGTCGGCGACACGGTCGTCTTCCCCGCCGCCGGCATGATCAGCATGGTACTCGAGGCGGCGCAGCAGCTGGCCGAGCCTGGAAAGGCAATCCACGCCCTGCGCTTACGCGATGTGTCTGTCATGGCTGCAGTGTCGATTTCCGAGGGTGTGGCCACAGAGGCGGTGGTTAACATGACCCGTGCTGGG